TATCCTATTTCTAACCTTAGCTATACTCTAGTAATTCTATATAAAGCATTACTCTTTATATTATCTTTATTTAATTATCTCTTATTTATTTAGCGCTAGTCTTAACTTATTTATATTCTTAGAGATAATTAATTATATAGGATGATTTTAAGTCTATTCTAAGATAATAATAATATATATAAGTCCTAGTCTTATTACTATATACTTATACTATAATAATTAGGGTAATAATAATAGTTAATTACTATCTAAGCTACTTAGACAGGTCCTATAATTATTACTTCCATGATTAGCTAAGCCATTTCTCCACCCAACAACGCACACAGACGCGAGCTTTTGCCGGGATGCGTGGCACTGTGGAATGGGAATGGGCTCGAAAAATTAACGACGCGCATTGGGAAGCGTACCCTACTCCGTACAGCGTAAACTGTCTTGACTTGTGCGCACGAATCTTTGTTTTTGGCCTGCGCCCCCAACACTGGGCCAACATGCTATTACCATGCAAACAAAGAAGGCGATTTTGGCATTTCGATGCGGCGACGCGGATCCCTACAAGGGTTCCGGCAAAGGGAACATTGAACCCTGGAAAAGTGAGGAGAAGCTTGGAAGTGGAGGAGCTGGGCCGGAACTCGTTTAAAAAAGTTTTCCAGTATGAATCATGACTGCCACTGCCACTGCCACTGCCACTGCCACTGCCACTGCCGCTGCCGCTGCCCCTGCCCCTGCCATCCGTGTTGCCCACACGACCAGCGCCTTCCGTACGGGACAGCGGCGCAAGCTCCGCGTCTCGGTGACTCACCAAGGCGACTTATGACTGGGCGTCTGATCAACGGGCATGGTCTCACAGGTCTCACAGTGACCCGAGTTGTGATTTGACCCTCACTTGAAAGTAAAGTCACTTACTTCCTCACTTCCCATTCCCAACGGCTGCCATCAACAGCCCCCTGAAACGTCGTTGGGACCTGCAGGTCTGTGAGACTGTGACGACTCCAGCAGCTACTGCAAGTCTGGCGCGAGCTTCGATAATACCCGCCGCCGTACGGAGTAAAACCTGCGTAGCAACCCCCGCTTTCGCTTCTTACCGCCATTATGTACGGACCGTAGTCCGTACCGATTAAGTATCTACCAGATGGCTTTGGCCAGACGCATTGCGGCTTGGAATACGTGCTCCGTACGGCGTGAGTAGTGGCCAGCCGCCCTCCGACCTAGCCCTCGACCTAGCCCTCGACCTAGCGAGTGCCACATCAGATGTTGTCACTTTTCCGAGGATGCTGTCCGCCGCGCTTCGACGAGATGCTGATGAGAGCTTGACCCCTCGCAGCACAGAGACAAAGAGCGGTGTCGCTGTCATCTTGCTGCACCAAGAGGCCCAGTACTTCTCCTGATCCGGCCTAGTGCCCCTGCCCGCTGCCCCATCTCATCTCTGGCCCATCCAACCTTTGCCCACCGGGCGAATCAGGCGCAAGACCCCACCATGGGCAGAGAAAAAAAAGTTTGGGAAATCGAACTACATACGTCTCCCACTGCCGGCCCTGCACCGTTTCCCTTCTCCCCTCCTCGGTCTCATCACCAGCTCACTACTCCCATCAAGACAACGAAGTCGCCCTACAACAACAGCAAACATATCATACTATTCTGGAACTATCGTCGTGTCAAGATGCCTTCGGCCGTCGCTGAGCTGTAAACGCCCACTGCGGACCACCGCCCGTGGTCCGCAGTCCCGCAGTTCACCGAGTTTTCAATCACATAAACCCATCGACGATCAGTTTCCACAGCAGATTTTCACGCTCCTGAGCCGTGAAGTTATCGAATCATTCGAATTGAAAGAAACGGTTCTCCCGAGAGTCTGCATCCGAAATCAAACATTCTGACATTAGCCCGTTCCACGCTGGGGCTGGTTCATCTGTTATCATACATTTGTGTTACATTTTATCCTGCTCATCTCTCATCCGACTTGTTCCCTTTGATCTTCTGTACTTTTTTCTCGCCCAGTACCCGATTATTTCCAATCGCCACCAATTCCCGTTCAGCCACTGTTAAAAGAAAGACGATCGACATCAACAGCCCCAAAACGCTTTGCAATTTTTTCGCCATTCCAACAAGTACAGCTCTGTGCCACCTACCTACCCACCCTAGTTCTGAATCAGTTGGTTAGTTTAGTTGGCAGTCCAAAGAGAAAATGTCGCGCAATATACGGCAAAAATACCCCGCCACGACCGCCAAAAAGGCGTCTAAGCGAAGAGGCTCAGATACATCGTCCTCATTTGATTTTTCCGACGATGACGACGGCTACTCTGCCGTTGAGGACATTAGCGACTCCTCTGACGACGACGAAGAAGATGTAAATGCGGTCGAGGAGCGAAACATTTTGACAGAGGCCAAACCCTCGGAGCCTCCTCGACCGCCGCCGCATGATGGTGACAATGACGACGACGATGATGACGACAATGACGATGACGGTGATGACGGCCGGTTCAATCTGAGCCTTCCTCCCGTTGTAGAGTCAGACGCCGAAGAGAGTACCAGCTGGGCTGGAATAGTCTCCGAGGTAGATGAAAGCCAAGCTTCGGATTTTTTCCATGATTCTGCACTCGCCTCTGATACGACCGTGGAGCGCCACGTACGATTCGACGTTCCTTCGAGCGACTCCGACTCGACAGACACAGAAGACGAAGACGATCATGGCGACTTGTTTCCCGACATCTTTGTGTCACAAACCTCACTCGATCCTGCATTTCGTCGCGAGATCGAACATGACCCAGACGAATCCTCGGGCTCTGGCTCCTTCTGGGACTACAGCGGCCAGTACGAGCAGCAGGACGACGACTCCGACGCCGACGCCGAGGAGGTCATTCGCCAAGAACTTTCTGATGATGACACCCCGACTGCTACTCCCAAGGTGGTGTCGCAGATGGATCAATCAGCCTTGACTCCTGCATTCGAAGAGCCGCTCGAACTGGATGGATATGAAAGTGAGTCCTGTCCGTCACAGGACGCTCGTGTTCCGTCCTTGCTAACAAGGCTCCATCTTCAGCTGATGGGGATACTACCGAAGAAGACATTCCCGAACCTCCCATTCGAAGAAAGTCTCGTCGCCCATCTGTTCCCATGAGTGAGACATCCGACTCGGATGCACCATCCCCGGTCAAGACGAAGGAGCGTGGGCAGCCTCGTGTCGGACGTTTCAACCTTGATCGGTCCGACAAGAAGCCCATTGCTGTGCTGAACCCCCTGACGCGGAAAATGATGATCTTCACTCCTCACCGTCGCCGCCAACTCGACCTCTCCCCCGAGCAATTCAACTTCCCATGGCCCGTGGAGGAACAATCCTCGCCCATCCTCAGCAACTCGGCCAACATGATGCTCAGTGCCATGTTCTCCTCCAACACGTTTGGTGATTTTGTCAATGCCCAAGCCATGGGACCTGCCGAGGCCTTCTTCCCGTTTCCCTCGGAACCCGGCACAGCGGATGAAAGCTCTACCGGCAGCATCCAGGGCGAGGAGGATGACGCCGAGAAGAAGCTCGACATTAGCGACTTTATCACTTGGGATGACGGCAACTCTTCTGGCGAGGAAGGTGATGACGGCAATAAATGGGTGCCCTCATCAACTCCCCTGAGACCAACCACCGCCTCGAGCGAAATTGACGTTCTATCGCACCTGAACCCGGATACTGTCGGCGCCTTTAGACGTAATCAGATCAACCAACAATTGATCTTGAGCAACAAGGCCACGCAGGACTCGCTTGCTTTCAGCGGACCCTACAACTACAGCGCCATCCGCGGTCTCAAGTCCGACCGCTTCGACACGGCAGGTGTCCCACTGACTCCGATTCGACGGCACAAGAAGCAGATGAGCGACATGGCCCGGAGTCCGTTGGACTCTGTATCAGCCAAGCGAAAAGCCTCGACCGAAATCGGCAACGGCCACAAGAGGCACAGGAGCATTTCGGATGTGAATTTTCTCAGGATATGAGATTCCCCCCCCCGGGTGCCTAACTAGTAGTAGCAGCCAAAAACAAAAAAAAACGAGCAAGGACGGCCTGGCGCGGAAAGGGCACGCGCTATCCCTGGCCTTGCCTGCCGACTGGGTTTCGTGACATTTATTCTTGTCTACCCGGCAAGGCTCCTGTACCATGCACAATCGTTGCTGGTATATTAGTTTGGGCTTGATCTTGGAACAAGTCTGATTATAGAAAGACAAAAGTACGCTAGACGGATGATTGCGTCTGGCACCATGCCTGGTAAATGGTAGAACATGTTTACGTCAAAAAGTTTTTATGTATATAGCAGATTGTATGGGCCTTGCTTATCCCATAGACGTGTATCGTGTATACAACTAGCGTTTCATTATTCGAGCTCACGTGTTTACTTCTGACATGACGTTGCCCCCAAGCATCCATCCACTCCTGAGTTAGTGAACGACAGCGCCTGCCGCTCAGACTGGGTCGGGGGTCTGTTGTAGATGAAGCTGGGCCGGATCGTCCCCCGACCAAGGCGGCATCAAAAAGGGCGGAGGACTGCGTGATATTCACCCAATGTGCCTAGTGAGCGTTGTGGCAGGGAGTTTGGGGACCTCGCAGTCGGTTCACAGCATTAATCACCAACTAAATTACTCTTCGCGTGGTGGCGGCCAACAACTAGACGGGGCCGCTTTTCAGCAGGTGCCGGCCGCATGGCCGAGACGCTGATTTTGCGGTGAAATGTAATCAATCTGCCGGCACTCTTGATCCTCGCATCCCAGTTCTTGCCTGCTTGGTACCAAGAGGGGATGTTCGTGACTTGTACTGAGGTTTCGTGGATTGCCGGCTAATCCAGAGTATGTTGGCGAGAAACTGCGATGCCTTGCGGTGGCAAAAGATGTTGAGTCTGGGTATGGCAGCTGTGTAGAGTGTGAGATGCAGACGGGCATTAATATGCCGTTGTGGTGGGATGGTTTTGCTCGGATTCTGGCTTTGGATAGTCTATATACACGACTTTAGAGGGGGGCTATTAATGTGAGACCTTGTGGCGCAATGGTTAGCGTATCTCTTTCCGGAGGAGAAGGTTCCAGGTTCGAGTCCTGGTGAGGTCGTGGGCCGTGAGGCTCATGAATTGTCTTTCTTTTTTTGGTGGTTTGATGGAGATGGCGATTGGTCCGCGGCGGGCCGCATTGTGTAAGCCCGGGCCAAGAACACGGGCCAATGGGTTCTATTCTCTTTTTGAGAGAATAACGCAGCCGTTAACTACAAACTCGAGTATCTAACTGACGTTTTTTTCTTTTCTTTGCTCAGATTGGATGCGTAGTCGTGCGTTTGGATGAGGATCAACACGACTTTTTTTCGGACATTGCTACGGAGTAGACTTGTCGTAAATAGCAAGGTGTGCCGCGTTTAGGAGTCAACCTCTTGTTTACGCCTTCATGTCTTTTTTTCTTGTTCAGATCGGACGCGTTGTCGTGCGTTTAGCCAAAAAAACTAAAACTCTAGAGATTACATAGTCAAGTCCTTAATTTTACTACATTACTAAAACAGCCGTCTTATAAACAGCAAGGTGTGTACCCGTTCAGGACTCGACCTTTGTTTCACGCCGTACGTGCACTACACCTATATAGAACAACCTTTCGCTTCGCAGATTGGCAGCAAGAATATCCATCAGTCGAGGTTATTTTCTTCCCCGACAGGCTCCGGCGCCGGGGCCCTCCGCAAATTTCTATCAAATCTAATTCTGCGACGGCCGCTGTCAAAACATGGGTGGCTTCAATGAGACACACAGTCCGCGGCAGTAAGTACAGACTTCGCTCGGAGCCATTTCGGTACGTAATTTGACTAATAGCTATTAGCGCGCGACACGGCAGTTCTGGAATTTTGTGACAAATCGACTGAACTTTTGCTGCGGAAGTTGACCGCTTGTCCCGTCCCCCCTTGAATGTTGGTGGTCAAGAACCAAAGGGCCTTTTCGCTTACTAGGTTCGTATGCATGCTCCCAAGGGACGAAACTTTCCGGGCATCTGGATGACCTGGCTAGTTGTAGAAAAAATGGCATCAATGGGCCCCTTCATGTCCTACCTTGCTTTGTTGCCGTTGACGAATCGGCCGTACGGTCGCGTACTTCGCATGGCACGTGCAGACAATCAGGCTCATGGCGTAGACATCACAGTGGCATCATGGAGGACGGGAATTAGTGAAACGTGAGTTCTTTTATTTTTCTCTCAAGTGTTCCGAGTTAGAAATAGCCCTCGAATTGGACGCTATGGAGCTGGGGAAATGCGAGTACCGGCTACTTTTCTCAACACTGTTGATCTCGCATGTTGCAGAAATGTTTACAAAACGCCAGCGACCACCTTGCCGCCGAGAAGACCCCCCTTCTTTCCACTCATACCCTTGTCTTAGCGCTTGCTGGGCACCAGCTTGGCGGAGTCCTCGAGAGCCTGGGTAGCCTTCTCCTCATCTTCCTTGGAAGGTTGCATCTCATCGCGCTGGCTGAGGGTGCTGTTCATGCCCTTGGTGGCCTTCATCTCGCCGCGCTGGCTGAGAGTGCTATTCATGCCCTTAGTAGCCTTTATCTCGTTGCGCTGGCTGAGAGTGCTGTTCATGCCCTTAGTAGCCTCCGTCTCATCCTCATCGCGCTGGCTGAGAGTGCTGTTCATTCCCTTGGCGGCCTTCATCTCGCCGCGCTGGCTAAGAGTGCTATTCATGCCCTTGGAAGCCTTCATCTCGCCGCGCTGGCTGAGAGTGCTGTTCATGCCCTTGGTGGCCTTCATCTCATCCTCATCGCGCTGGGTGAGGGTGCTGTTCATTCCCCTGGCGGTCTTCATCTCATCGCGCTGGCTGAGAGTGCTGTTCATGCCCTTGGTGGCCTTCATCTCGCCGCGCTGGCTGAGGGTGCTGTTCATTCCCTTAGTAGCCTCCGTCTCATCGCGCTGGCTGAGAGTGCTGTTCATTCCCTTGGCGGTCTTCATCTCGCCGCGCTGGCTAAGAGTGCTGTTCATGCCCTTGGCGGTCTTCATCTCGCCTCGCTGGCTGAGAGTGCTGTTCATTCCCTTGGCGGCCTTTATCTCGCCGCGCTGGCTAAGAGTGCTGTTCATGCCCTTAGTAGCCTCCGTCTCATCGCGCTGGCTGAGGGTGCTGTTCATGCCCTTGGTGGCCTTCATCTCGCCGCGCTGGCTGAGAGTGCTGTTCATTCCCTTGGCGGTCTTTATCTCGCCGCGCTGGCTAAGAGTGCTGTTCATGCCCTTGGTGGCCTCCGTCTCATCGCGCTTTCTGTTGGTAATATTGAAAGCTTGACCCTCCGTGAAGCCACGTTTATGCATGCTCTCCATGAATTTGTTGAACTTTTGCATCTGATCGGCGCTGAGTCCGAGAGTCTCCTTGTTCGCGTAGAGGATGTGCATGGCCTTCATCTGAGTGCTGTCCATGGTGGACATGGTGGTCATATTGGTGGGCGCTGCCAGAGAGGCACCGGCGAAGAGGGAAACCAGCACAGTGACAAAGGCGGACTTCATCTTGACGGTTGTTGTCTTGGGGGAGGGGAGGGGAGGGGAGGGGAGGGGGGTGTGTTTAGTTTCTGTTGTTGGTGTTGTTGGATGGGTCTTTGATGGTTCTGGAAAAGAAAGCAAGTGTTGGAATTGTGCTTGTTGTACTTGTTGATGAGGATGATGAGAAAGCTGCGACTAAGACGCGCCGGACTCCCATTATATAAACGTTTTCGAGCGCATCCAACGTCGGCACGTTGTTGTCGAGCAGCCCCATCTGTCACAGCATCATCCAGTTGCCTCATGGAATGTCCCAGCATCGGGCTGTTGATAAGGCAGAGCTGGAAACCGGAATGCGGAAGCCCGCCATCTCGAGGAGTCTGACGTCCTTGACCGAGAGAGGGAAAGAGGAAAGACAAATTTCCTTGGGTCCAATCTCTTGGGCCCAATCTCTTGGGCCCAGGAGAGGGGAATCCAAAAAAATTTGGGAAAAGCCATGCCGATGAGAAGAAGGATGGCGAAGGATGGCGTTTTGCGTTGCAAGCCAAGGTGAGTGAAGAGCGGGGCGGGGCGGGCGAAGGCGGGGGCTTCGATTGGCTGGAATGGGCGCGGCGTCGTCGAGGAAATGCAATTACGCCAAGGTTGGCGATGGCAACTCGTTTTGGGTTTTTTTTGGTTGCTCGAGGCGCATGCCGCGGGTCCGCATCCGAGTCAATCTTGCATCCACCGAGCGAGCGAGCTGTGCCTGACGCCCGTGATGCGAGGCTTTTGTACTTTTATTTTTGTCTTTGTGAAGCCCTGCCGCCTCCCCGTTCTTCTGTTGAATCTGCTGACGCCTCAGGTACAAGCTGCAGCTGGCGGCTCGGCGACAGGGCGACAGGGCGACAAAGGACGACAAAAGGACGACAAAGGACGACAGGACCACGCGATGCCATTGACGGGAGTGGCGCGCCAGATTCAAGACTTGTCACCGCTGACACCAGAAATGCAACTGCGGGATTCAATTAGGCTCACGTTGTGCAAGGTCCGTTGAAAGGCATGGGGGCTTTTCGACCTTCGCCCTCAGGCCATTTCTCCCATCGTGATCCAAGGCGGGAGGGGGGTATTCCTCTGGAATGCACTCGGCTAAATCAAATCCAAATTGTGTCAGAATATGAACCCGTTTAGTTCTAGGTATGTGCCTGAACACTTGACCTGAAAAGCTCCGGGTAAGGACATGAAGGACATGAAGGACATGAAGGACATGAAGGACATGAAGGACATGAAGTTTCCGCACCAGTGAAACACCCTTCATCATCGCCTCTTCAAAAGTGGCAAGTTGCTTGCCAGAAGCCAACGAGTCAAGTTGCCAACGAACCCCCATTCGCCAAAGCAATCTTCATCACGCAGATTTGTGTCATGATGTGGCTTGCGCCATCGTTTCTTCAGACCAAGTTCCCAAGGGAGCGCATGTCACCGCAGCTCATGATTTACGTCACCAGTTTCTACAGCCCTTAGGGTGTCGAATACTTTCTGTTCAGACACTCTCGTCTTGTCTGCACTCGGGCAGCCCTCCACCGCCAAGTTTTTGATATACCGATCGCCCCTGAGATCTACAAAGTCTCACACCTGTGGCGATTTTTTTTTTTTTTTTTTTTTTTTTTTGCCGCAGTGTCTCCAAAAGCCTGCCAACTCGGCGCATCCTGGAAATAGCGCGGCATTGCACAGTCTTGGTTGTATGATCATGTCAAAATATCGACGGGTGACAATGCCAAAGTCAAAGTCAATGCGTCCGCCACCAAAGGCAATTTTATCGAAAAGCCTTCGACAAGAGATCGAACCTAGGATCCGCAGGTGGCATCATGTCGACCCGCATCTAAAAAAGCGCAACATGTGCTCCAAGATTGACCGCGTCTAGGTGGAAGTGTCTCTTTGGTGACGATAAGGCTTCAATGCGTAGGGAAAACCTACCAAATACTAGGTATTATCCCAAGATATAGGTACCTGTAGATCGCACAGGCATGTGAATGTAGCTTTGATCGGTGCATGTTGATTGCACACAAGCCCATGTAGTGACCGCCGCGAGGCCTTATCGTTCACCAAAGAGCTACGTAGTCTTCCTTGAGAGGAGCTCGGTTAGTTTACAGCCTAATTCGTCCTCCGTAAAGGTATCATGAATCATCTTCTACTGAAGAAACCTTTTGTAGTCCGGGAGGGTGGAGATGGCAATTCTCAAGGGCTGGACATGCAGTCTGATTGTCGTGGATCGACCTTCGCGCTTCTGCTCTACTACTCTGAACTGAACTAGAACTCATTGAATGCCATTGGCACTCCCAGACCTGCTTCGGTCGCTGCGATACTCAATTCGTTCGTATTTTTTGTAAAAGACGGACCACTAAACATACCACTCGGCATCCTGATAGTCTCGGGATCCAAAGTCAGAGGTGCCAAAAGGAACACTTACAAACAAACGCTGTTTCCGTAAGGGTCGGCAAACCCTTCCGACACGGATGGCTGCATGGCGAGCGTACTATAGGAGACTGCATGTAACAAGACGTACGTGCCTGCGGCTCTCGAATCGTATGAAACCCGCAGGACACAACCTCACAGTCTGGTCAATCTGCACGGTTGACATATCGCAT